AGCAACTGCCAAACAACACCTTCATTAGTTGATGATTGATTGTTAGTTTTTTTGTTAACGGTTATTGTTAGGGTTTGTTAGTTGATACCGAAATGTTAATTACGTGTTAATTGTTTTATTATTTTACTAGAAAAATAGAAAAAGAATTAGGGAAAAAAGGGCCAACATCCGAAACTCATAGAGGTGGTAACGGTTCTTGTAATATTATCCAACATAATTCTACTCATTCGATACCTAGAAAATTATCAACGACTCTTATTTTTATGTTTTTTATATTTTATATTTTTTGAAGAAAAAATATAATACTTCTTAATATGTTTTATAAAGGAGTTTGGTTACTTTTAATGGTCACCCCATCTGTCTTTATAATTATATTTGATACATATAATCTAACCTAACCTAATATGATCTAATTAAGTTTAAAAAATTGTAAACAAATGAAATTGTCCCTAATTAATGGATGATAGTTGACTCTGTTAATATAAGTGACGCGACTTATGACGAGATGCAAATCACGGGTACGCTAAATATACTCATCTATATTATATTATAAAATATTTGACAAAAATTTTTAAAAATCATTATTTATGCATGAAGTATTGTTTATTAATGCATATTACTTAAAATTTAAGATTAAAAGCAAATTGTGCATAAGTACAACTTATTAAAACTTCATTTTTAAATTCGTATAACTAACTGTAGATTAACATAATTAAATATAAAATAAACATCTTATTTTAAATATAAAAAATCTAAAATATAATTAAGATAATTATTGAGTTCAAACAGAATCATTATCTTTATAAAAATTATATTGTTAAGTCACAAATAAATTATTTCGATATTAGACCTAAATTAAATTAAAGAAATTGTACAAAAAAAGAGCTTTTAAATACTTAATTTGATATTAATATCGATGTACTTTTTCAAAATTTTATAATATCTTCCAATTTATTTTTATTCAAATGTAAAAATATTGTCTTTTTCAAAACCACATAAGTGATATTATATCAATAAAGGCAAAAAATAAAACGAAACGTTAAATAAAGATGTATCTCGTTGCATTACACGAATACCTTTCTAGTTTTAAATAAAGACGATGTCCAAATTTTGAGTAAATCACAAAGACCAACCGTGTAATTTACTCTTTCATATATTTTTTCTATTTTATGATTTGTTGTTGTCTGATGATCAACGGGTCTCTTTTTTTTTTTTTTTTTTTAAAGAAAATACATCTTAATCTGTTTTATAAATGGAGTTTCGTTGCTTTTAATGGTCACCCATCTATCTTTGTAATCGTATTTTATATTTCATGATTATATTTTTCCTAATAATAAATAAATGATTCTTTTTATTTATAAATAAAATTAGAAAAATTTTAGATCCGGTTCCAAAACTATGTCATTGTTAACGAAACTATTACTTGATTCTTTCTTTATTATAAATTTGTCATTGAAGTTTAAATATCGACTGCTTTTGGTCCTTCTCACTAACAAACATTAAGTTTTTTTGGTCAATTAAGTCCAATTAAATAAGGGACAATATGGTCATTTTACATTTACAACTATTTTAGGTTTTTTTTGGCAAATAAAAACCCTAAGGGTGCGTTTGGTACGTGGAACAGGGTGGGACAGGACAGGACAGGACACACTTGTCCCATGTTTGGTGTGTTTCTAAATGGAACTAAGTGGAACTAAGTGGAACATACATGGGACAGGCTTGTTCACCCTCTCGCCCTGGAACTAAGTGGAACAAGAGTTATTTGACAAATATACCCTAAATCTAATACCCATCTACCGTCTCAATCCATCTCCATCGTCTTCTTCAAGCCACTGCCACCTCCATCTCCATCTCCATCGTCTTCTTCACCGCCACCTCCATCTCCATCGTCTTCTTCAAGCCACCGCCACCTCCATCTCCATCTCCATCGTCTTCTTCACAGGAGACCTCCATCTCCATCGTCTTCTTCACAACGAACCTCCATCTCCATCGTCTTCTTCACAGCTTTTTCACAGCAGACCTCCATCCCCATCGTCTCCTCCACAGCAGACCTCCATCTCTATCGTCTTCTTCACAGCCGGCCTCTGCCTCCATCTCCACCGTGTCCTCCATCTTTTTTTAAGGTAAAACTATCTCTATCTCTCTCGCTTGTCTTCTCCACAGCAGGCCTCTGCCCATTTCTTCAAATTTTGCTACTACATCGCTTGTCTACTTTCGTTTGAATTAGGAAAATCATGTGAGAAACTGCTTGAATTTGAATATTATCTTGTTTAGGGTTTTTGTTTCGATTTAGGAAATTTGTTACTGCTTGAATTAGGAAATTCATGTATTTTGTTTCAATTTTTTTCTATTTTCGAGGCTTAAATGTGAATTTTAACTAGTAATTTTTGTTAATTAGACGTAATTCACTCAAATGTTTGATTTAGGGTTCTTAGGATTGTTCATTGTTCATTGTGTTGTGATATGTAGTTATGTATTTGAAATGTCACTGGGGGTAAATTGGTCATTTTAACCAGTTTTGTCTTGTTCTGTCCTGTCCTGTTATGTCTTACCAAACGCTGAACACCTGTCCTGTTCTGTTCTGTCCTGTCATGTCCTGTCTGCGTACCAAACACACCCTAAATGATTATTATATGTTCTATAACGTTATAAGTTCTTTTATACATACATATATATATATATAGGGGTCGGTTCAAATAAGAAGTTAACATGAGAATGTAAGAAAGAAATGAAGTGTTCATATGTGAATTACTAAAAAATCTTGAAAATTTTATGTGAACATGTATATGTAAACTGGCGTTATAATTTATTCATATGTGTTTACATATGCATCTTCAAATAGATTTTTTCGAGAATTTTATAATTATTCACATATGAACATTCTCTCATCCTTCCATTTTTATTTTGTCAGGATGTTTAATTTTCTTATTTGAACATCCATATATATATATATATATATATACACACACACACACATACATATAGACAAATGTGTGTGTACAACATTGAAGTGTCACTTCCTTTCTCGTAACCTCTTTCCAACAGCTCTTCCCTTTCCCCGGCAACATTACTTCTCTTTCTTCTTTGGCGATACTCTCCTTTCACCACCATCACGGCTATGAAACTAATTATACCCAAGAATTTATTGCAATCACCATTTAGTCTCTCTCGGCCAATTTCAATAACTATCATGACTGACCCACTAAATTACTTAAACATAGATTGCAAAGGTTAGAGGTCGTCATCATTCCTTTCAATCTATGTTATATTTGCTATGTACTGGTGGTCGTGACCACCTTTAGCACAAACCATTATCGTTGTTGGATTCGCAACCACTTTTCTACTCCCACCATCAAATCGATCATGACCACAACTAAATCGAACATCATTGCTATCAAATACGTATCCATTGTTGTCAAAGAGATCTCCATATCCGCTATAGCCAAAACAACCACCATACGAGTTTCGATCACAATTCACACCAAAAATGGTCTCGCCACCACCAAAACTTGTCGCTGTCGCTTTCACAATCTTCCCTTAGTAGGATTCCAAGCCGACTTTCTCATATATGTTGCTCCATCAACTACCCTCTTATATTTTTTGCAGTTAGTCTTCATTGTGTTCTACATTAATAAAGTTGCATGTGTTTTAGCGTCGAGCAAGAAACAAAAAGTGATAAAGTTACAAAGTGTTCGAGGTATTGACAAGAATTTTAGATGTGCTTGCTTACAGTGCAATGATACAATGTTGGTTTCTTGTGCAGATGCAGAGCAGCAGACCGTGAAATTTATGGCGATGATCAGGAAGGGCCATGAGAGGAAGGCCAAGTGAGAAAAATGTCTTATTCCCAAAACTAAAATTAAGATAACGGAAATTGTAAAATAACCATATTACCCCTTATTTAATTGAAGTTAATGGACTTTAGTAAGAAAGACCAAAAACGGTTGATTTTGTACATAACGGGCACAAATTTGTAATATATTAAAAATAGCGACCAGTTTCGTTAAAGATGAAATAGTTGAAGGACCCATCCAAAATTTACTATTAAGTCGACCAAGACACTTCGTACAACAAGTACATAATTTCCAATAATTCCAGGTCCGAAGATTCTCCTAAATTTCTTCACACGTCACGGAGACCATCTAATAGAATTAAAATAATAGAAAATTTTAATTATTTTATTTATTTATTATTTATATAAATTAAATTAACTGTTTTTTTATTGATCATGCTACCCACCATTCATTTGTAGCCATTTCCAAACCACCCTTCACTTCTAGAAATGAGCAGCATCTACGTTATATCGTTTAAACATATAACACGTTATATATAAATATCATACATATATATATATATATATATATGTTGTAATTATACGGATTAAACCGTATAAACAAAGAAATGGTTACTTATGTATAAAATTTTTGTGCCATCAAGGTTGTCGTGAAGGCTTATGGTTTAACTAAGGTTTTTTGTGACGGATTTTTTAAGAACGGCTATTTTTCTATGGTTTTCCGTATGTTCTATCTAACAAATTATAAATCGGAGACGTAGTTGTGAAAATAACCATATCAACCACAAGTAATTATTAATTTTTTTAATTATAAATATATAAACACCGTTTATTATTTCCACAATCATAAAGTCAATCACATCATTACATTTATTCTTATATTAATCAATAGCATTTATATTAGTTATAAAGACTATCCGTACAATTTAAATCTAATTAAAACAACACCGACAGTTCAACACGTATATATTTTTTATAATAATTTCTTTTTCGTTATAAATACCTTTCATAAGAAAACAAATAATAATAATAATAATTAATACCCAAAATAAAAAATTGGATCCTTAAAAGTCAAAATTCAAGAAAACAACACAACCATAGGGCCACACGTTCATTTTTCTAAAGAATTAGTCAAAATGTTGACTTTATTTCAGCCCTTCCCTCTTTATCATATATGATAGCTTGAAATGCTCCCACACCCACTCCAACCAGCCTCCAATGCCATTGAAGTACATAACATCTCTCTTTCTCTCTATAACAAAATGTTGGGCAAGAAGATAGGTTCAGTGAAGAACCTAGCCAAGATGGTTAGGGTTCGGGGTGGCCCGGACGCATCACAGTCCGAATGGTTACTTAGAAAAGGTGAAGAAAAAGAAGAAGTAGTGTGCACAAATATGTCGTCTTCTGATTCATCATCGTCTAGCAAAACCCCAACAGGGTTTTTCACGGTTTACATAGGGGAGGAGAGACGTAGGTTCGTCATCCCCATGAGCTACCTGTCGCACCCATTGTTCAAGATGATGCTAGAGAAGTCATCGGAGGAGTTTGGGTTCAACCAAAAGAACGGATTGGTGGTTCCGTGTAGTGTCAACGCTTTTCAAGAGGTGGTAAGTGTTGTGGAATCTTGTAATGGAAAATTTGATTTGAGTCATTTGGTTCAAGAGCTCGTTTAGTGCATAATTTATACAATTGGTAGTAGTAGAAGAGAAATAATATTGTGTATAGTAGGATTATGTATTGGTCACATTGGATTTTTGGAAGGTGTTGGTCTTAGTTTTTATACAAAAAGATCCTTTTGTCTAGTTGTTTGTCTGGTGTAGCGAACAGTAATTTATGTAGTTGATTATAGAAATAATATAATTGCGATCCCTGCCAATAACATGTTTGACGTTTTATACGGAATTGGATGATTACAAATAAAACCAATTATGTCAAGAATCGCAAGAACACTGTCGTAAGGAGGCAATGATATATGAATGTTGCTCGAGTCTAGGAACTTGTTTGATCATATCCTGAAGCAAATTTTGCCCATGTCGGGATAAAAAGTACGAGTTTGATATTCTCCTTCCAAAACGCCGACATGGTCATTGTAGTCTTTGCCTCATGATCTTCCGATAGTCAGGTTTTTTGCATTATGTGTTACTTACACGGTTTTGAATATAATAGTATAATACTAGCTTGAAGGGGAATGAAAATGGAAAAGAGTGTGGTATTTTTCGTATGGTCGACTTAATCACTAAAAATAAAACACAAAAATGGTAGATTCGAGAGACAATAAAAAAACCATCTCCAACCATACACTAAGGGACTGTTTGGCAATTGCTGAATGGTTTGGTGCTGAATGATTAAGTGGTCAGAATGATTAGGATGCTCTCATGATATAGTGCCAAATGAAATATAATTGTTTAGTAATTGTGTACAATGAAATTAGGGCTCTTAATGGTTAAGGGAGATCTAATATACAAAATCATTCAGAGAGTTTTTGAACCATTAAGAGACAGACTTTTTTTTTGCCAAACAAGATTCACCTCTTAACAATTCAGAGGTTGTCTCTTAATAAAACTATTAAGAGGTAAACAAACAACCCCTAAAAAATTCTAAGAAGCATCTTTAACATTATAATAATAATAAAATAATATATGTATTTATAAAAACTTAACATTATACATAAATATAAAAACTTTGTATTATATTAATATTTGATTTATAGATGCCAACTTTATTAACCTTCAAATATAGAGGCCAACTTTTTTTACCTCTATTTTATTAGTGTTTTAGTATTGGGTTGGAGATGAATATATATATATATATATATATATATATATATATATTCATTGGTAAAGTTGGTTTGCATGGTTTTTCTTGTATCCGAGACCCGGGTTCAGATTATGTTTATTTTATTTTTCTTCGTTTTTAGTTTTTAATTTTAGATTATTATGTTTCTAAAGTCTTTTGTAATAAAAGATTTGAACATAGGACCTCACATCTGAAGTAAAAAACTAACCACTAGACCAAATATTATTTTGTAAAAAAAAATCCATACATTTGTTTCTTAGACTCAAGTGGTGTCATCACTTGAAAAAATTAGATCCTACCTCTGCTTATAAATCTCGATTTTATACCTAAAAAGTCACTAACTTCTATGAAATAATCATGTTTCTCATTTTCAACAACTTTTCTTTTAGATTTATTATCAAATTGAAGGATGATGAGTAAATCAGTCGTGCATATTGTGCAATTATCGTTCTCATTTCTCAATTAGAGAAAACAATATTAATGGACATTGATCTAATGAACCAAACAGCTAGTAATTATGAAAAAGAAAGTTATATGATGATTATTTTTTCATTCTTACAAGATTTTAGCTTTATTTCTTTATATATTTATAAAAATTCATTTTTTTTATCAGTTATATGTATTTTACATATGTTTTATATGCTTTGCGAAAATGTCTTTTTATCTTGGAGCTCTGGGATAGGATTATGATGTGGTGGGGGTTGACCCTCGAGCTATTACTTCGGTTTCGAACATTTGGTCGTTATCTGAGTTGTTTTCTGCGTCGTCTTTGATGAGTAAGTTGTTGACATTTGTAGTCTGGATCTCTCTTTATTCGATTTGGATCTCTCAAAATAAACCCGTGTTCAGTAGTTTGTGTGGTGGTGATGACTTGTTGGTCGATATCTAAATTGTCTTGTTCTGTTGGTCGTCTCATCACACTAAAGCTTTCCTTAGGTCTTGGGCATTGTGGTGTGTACACCTGTTGCTTATTCTTGTTTACGGATTTTTTGGATATTTGTTTAATAGTAAAAAATAATTAAAATAATTTAATTATTAATTAAGTTTTTCAATAAAAGTACAGACTACTTTATTTTCAAAATTAAATATATTAAATTAACTTTGGAAAAACAATAGGGACAAAAAATTGTAATTCGTTTTAAAATTAATTGTGATTCACATTTTTTACGTTTTTTGTGAAAAAATGTTTTAAGTACTATTAAAATTTATTTGTTAAAATAAATAATTTATTGCTATGAAAAAAAAATCGTGTTTTAGATGTTAAATTGAATTATTAAATATTTATGAGTAAGTTAGAACAGTTAAATTGATACAGTAATTAAAATATATTTTTTGTTAACTTAATTAAAATATTAAAAAATATTTTTAACAAAGATTTAAAAAAAATGTGAATCACATTAATTTTAGAGTGAATTACGCTTTTGGTCCCTATAGTTTATTTAAAGATTGATTTGTCTTTTTTAACGGCGGCCAACTAACGGTGTTAAATCCAATGGTCTTAAGTGTTATGAAATTAAAAAGTTAATGACCATCAATGTAAATAGTTCATTTTAAGGACCATCAATGTTTTTTTTTCCATCCTTAAGATTCTTTTACTACAAAAATCTTCATGTGGTATGTGTTATGTTTTGGTTTTTGTTTCTTAAATATGGACGTAGCATGTTAAGAAAAATAACCCCTTCACTCTCTACAAATTTCTCCAACCACAGTCCCACTTCGTTCCACCTCCATTTCTAGATGAAGACAACAAGCAAGGAGGACGACGTTGCATCCGCCACCACTGTTATATCCACTCTCATTCAAATCGGATGCATCCCAACTACCACCATTGTCAAACGCCCTTTCCTCCAAGGAAGGTGATACATTACCGTATCCATCTCCTATTCAAGGGCTTCGGCATCGCAAGTTATTTTCTAGAGGTTTCAACCTTCTCCACCTCTGGAAAATCGAAACACCGAACAATCTCAGCTAATATTTATGTCGGTCCACTTATTGTGGATCGAATCTTCATTTTTTTTCCTCATAGTGTGCTTATCAAATCAATCTCCATGAAAAATCATTAATGACACATTCTACACAATTACTTTTGATTTTTAACATATATGATCACTTTTTTTGACATGCTTGATTTATGAATATAAGTAAAATATTTTCGAAATGTTATTTTATAAAATATGTGGGGTTCAATTTGTCAATCATCAAAACTAACAATTTTTTTCAAAAATAAATAAAACCACTCATATTTGTACAAAACATGCAAACCACTCTTATACGTTGATTTCATTATTTAATCTTATGAAAATTTTTCTTGAAAATGATTAATATTATGAAATTGTTTCATATAATATTTTTTTGTTAAATTTGTTTCATATATAGTTATGAAATTGTTTGACATAATACTTATGAAATTTTAATGAAACTGTTTCATGTATCTTTCTAAAATTAATATAATAAAGATGATAATATCCATGATTAACACCCTCCACATAAAATTGATTAACCAACCTCTCATAATTATAAAAAAATAAACAAAATAAAAATTATGATTGGTTGAATGAGATTTATACGGTTTGTACAAATAACGTGTTTTGCAAAATAAACATCCTCTCTCTCTCTCTCTCTCTCTATATATATATATATATATATATATATATATATATACACACACACACACACACATACATACACTTACATCAACCCGTCAAAGTTAGTTATTATAACTTCAAACAACATAATCACTTCCAAATACAAGGAACTAAATAACTCTTATCATAATCAGTTAACTACAGATGAAGAAATTACGCAAGTCCTTTGCTCTTATCGGTGCCTGCTTTCTTGGACCTTGAGATACATACTATATTAACTTTTGTTGAGTAAGCTCATGATTTTCAAACCAAATAATATATGCACAGATGTTACTTCAAAACAAGTAACATTAAATCTATATTGCAAGACATTGAAATTTATGTATGTAAACTTTTGACATCTTCCACGTATGCAAAGCAATACATATGATAACTCAATTGAATTGATGTAGCATGTGGGTCAACTATGACTCAACCTAGTACAGTTACCCGTGTACAGAGGTACCCACACGCTACATGTACCTTCTATCTGGACAAACCGTGAACATAGGCAACCACACGATACTTGTACCTTCTATGACCCCACACACATAACCGACTAAACATGCATAATTCAATTCAATATCAAGCTGAAAAACATTTAGCATGCTTTGAAAGCTATAAACACATTATAACACGCTCTTTCATGTTAATAAGATAAATATTGAACAATTATGAACACGTGATAATATATTTCAAAATCACGTCAAACATATTGATCATACTGAAAATACTGAATATCGTACTACCATCCAAAAACCCACATCGTAACCACCTTCACACATCCTTTCCCCGAAATCTCCCCCAAATCCACACATCTTATCCTCACTTGCTCCTCCTTTCACTCATTGTCATCTACCGGCCAAGAAAACCCACTTCCCACCGGAAAATTTATCTCTGGTTCCAACCTCCAATTCCTCGATGCTTTCAAAGTATTCCAGAAATTATTTTCTGGGTCGATGTTGTTAATCTGAATCTTTTGCAAAATCTACAATGTTGCCTAAAGCTTATATCAAACTATTAGGTTTTCTGGTGACCGGACATTCGACTCAGGCGAAAGTAAAAAGAAGTTGGCGCCGGTTGTCAAGGACCGGCGAGGCTGTTACAAAAGACGGTCAGAACTCAAAACTAAAAGTGTCGAAAGAAAAGGGTAACAAAGTAATTTCGTTTTCAAAACTGATAAGTTGTTTTAAATAAGTTAGAAGGGACTAATTTATTAAAAACTTACTATTACCGATGTCAAGTTCTTTTTTTTTTTTTTGCCCATCCAAACACTAAAAATTGTTTGTTGCCGGTACCACATCGGAATAAGTCAATAAACAGCTTTCATAAGCAATCCCAAACCCAAAAACGAACCAAACGGTATATTTCCGTTGTTCAAACGTTGCTTTAACAAGGCTAGGCACAGCCTTAAAAT